TGCTCTTAACCGCTGAGCCATCTCTTCAGCCTGAGATTGGATATTTTAAAGAGACTGAAATTTTAATGTGTTTGAGATCAGGAGAACATGTCCTGGTGATGGACAAAGGTCAGGAGAACACAGTGTTGGCAGAAATCATGGAAACTGCATAAGAGATAAACATAGGGAGGCCAGCCTCACACTGGCCCACTTCCCCAGCTCCCTTCTCCTGATTTCCTAAATGGGAACAGAACTTGGGGCCTTGCATATTTTAGGAACATACATTACCTCTGAATTGTATTCCAGTCCTCTTTTCATTTCTTTACATTTTTCAGACACAGTCTTAATAGTTGCTGAGTCTGGCCTTGAAAAAACTCTCTAACCTTACAATTCTTTCCTGAGTAGTGAAACTATATGAAACTAACTTGACATTTTACCTGGGCAAAACACCTTTCCAAAACCAAAAATGAGCCCAGCAACTCCATTTCCACTGAACAGAAAAGGGGATTCAAACATTGATTGTTCCCAAACCATAAACCACAACAGCTGAACAGTAAAGAGAACCCAAGTATTTAGCACTGAATGAACAAACAACCTATGGTAAATATATAAATGTACGTAAGATAGTATTATTGATAAAAGTACAAGGAATATTCTACAATGCAGATGGACCTATAAAATAGTATGTTCAGTAAAAGAAACGAGATACAAAAGGTCAGATCCTGTATGATTCCCTTTATCTGACTATGCTCAATAGGCCAATGCATAGAAGCAAGTAGAGGGCAAATGGACTGAGTGCTGTCAGAGCTGAGGGAGAAGTGGGGGAACTGATTGCTTAGCTGGTACAGATTTTATTATATAGTGATAAAAATGTCTTAGAACTAGACAGAAGTGATTGCATCATACCCTGAATGATGACTCACTTTACAATGATGAATTTTATGACATGTAAGTTTCACCTGGGAATTAAAAACTAATAATGAATCATAAAACATAAAAATGATAAATTGGACTTTATCAAAATAAAAAAAATTATACATCAAGGAACAGTCACAAGAGGGTGCAAGACAACATGCAACCTGATAAGATATTTGTAGTCATTTATCTGCTAAAGATCTGCAGTCCAGAATACGCAGAGACCTCCTCCCAAATGACAATAACAAAAGATGCAACTAAACCGCACTGAAAGTGAGTTGAAACACATTCCTATGGTCGAGAGCCCCTTGTAACTCATACTGCAATTAAGTTGTCACTGTGACTGGACTGAGAGGTAGGATCTGGGTTAGAGATGTTGCTCCTGGTAGAACTTTTGCTAGGTTCTAGCCTCAGCATGGTAAAGTAAACACATGAATAACACCACCACAAAGGGGTAGGGAATTTAAGAGGTGCTGAGACCACAGAGCATTCACAACACATTGCAGTCCCTGTCCCAGGAGTGGCAGAGACAAATGAGAGAGTAAATATGGCTCCCTTCTAGCCTGTGATGCCTTTAGACACACTTCCTAGCCATGGCAATTATGAGCTACATAGACCTTTATTATTTATAAATTATGCAATCTCTACTGTCCTCAATGTGGAAAGTGACTAAGGCAGGCATTTATGGGCTATTTTGAGATAGTCTCACTATGTGTCTGTGATGTCTGATCATGGTTGTCAGCTTGATACACCTGAGAAGAGGGAACCTCAGCTGAGCAGCTCCCTCCATGAATAAACTGGCCTGCCTACAAAGCTGAGACCATTTTCTTAATTCAAAACTGATATAAAAGGCTCCAGCCTACTGTGGGAGGTAGCATCTGTAGGCAGATGGGCCTGGGCTGTAAGAGAAACGTAGTGAAGTAAGCCTGGGAGCAAGCCAGCGAGTGGCTCTCCCTTTCCTTGAGATGGGGTTCTCCTAGTACCCTAGGCTGACCACGGACTCTTAGTGATCTTTGTGCCTTTGCCTACTGAGTGCTGAGGTTATATGTGAGCCACTATAGCAGGTTCCCCTTGATTATTTTATTCCTTTAAGTTTATATCTAGGAGCGTGCAAGAAATGGTTTGTAGCAACAGTAAATTTGCAGAATTTTGTTAAATGGAATCAAACTTAAAATTTAAATAAATATATACAAAGATCAATTCTACTAAAGACAAAGGAACACACAGTCGAATGTTCACCAATACTTATTTTATATTGCCTCTGTGTGAGTTCATAAATGTGTACTGAACCTAGATGATGTATGTGGTGGTTTCAAAGAAAATGGTACCCAAAGGGAGTGGCACCATGAGGAGGGGACGCCTCACTGGAGTAGATGTCATCTTGTAGGAGGAAGTGTGTCACTGTGGAGGCAGGCTTTGAAATCTCATATATGTTCAGACCATGTCCAGTGAGATCAGACCACTTCCTGTTGCCTGCACTATGTCTGCCTGCATGCCACCATGTCTCACCATGATGATAATGGACTGAATCTCTGAAAATGTAAACCACCCCAATTAGATGTTTTTCCTTTACAAGAGTTGCTATGGACATGATGTTTATTCCTAGCAACTGAAATCATAACTAAGATAGAAGTTGGTTCCAGGGACTGGGGTATTGTTTTAATAGACCTGATCATGTTTTTGTTTGAAGAAATCTGGACTCTATTAGTATGGGTTAGGAAAGCTGGGAAATGCTTTAAGAATTTGTAATGGGCCATACAAGTAGGAGCATGGAAGACAGTGGTGCTGATTATGATTTGAATTGTGGGGGGCTGGCTCAAGAGCTTTCAGAAGAGAAGAATATTAGTATGTTGCCTAGAAATTATTCTTGTGATATGTTGGTGAAGAATATGGCTGTTTTTGTCCTCATCTGAAGAGTTTGCTCAAGGCTAAAGTGAAGAGTTTGGATTAATTCTGTTGGCAGAAGAAATCTCAAAACAGACTGGTATAGACTCTCTCATATAGTTATTGGTGGTAACTCTGATAAAGATTTATAATGAAAAGGAGCAAGCTGAGCAAATGAAAATACAGAAGGTACACATTGAGACAAGGGGTACAGGGAGTAGAACAAAGCTAAATCCAGTGTTCAAGGAGAGAAACGGATTAAGAAATGGAATAATGGAATAATGGACCTCAGGGTAAGATCCCACCTACCTAAGTTTCTAATTTGTAAAAAGCAATTAAAGAAAAGCTTAGAGCCGGGTATGGTGGGGTACATCTTTAATCCCAGCACTTGGAAGGCAGAGACTGGTGGATCTCTGAGTGTGAGGCCAACTTGGTCTACAGAGCAAGTTCCAGAACAGCCAGTGAAGGAAATCATTGAAAACAGAAATGGTGAAGATATAACTAGAAAGGAGGTCATGTTCAGCCCCAGCAAGCAGCAGAACGTGATAGCTTTGGTTCTATGGTTCTGGCTTTAGAGGTAAAGACAGAAGAAAGAGTCTATAGAGCTTGCCTGAGACTAAGGGAAGCCGCTAAGGCCAGGCATGTGTCAGGGGTGTCCCTGAATGGAAGTCTAGAAAGGCCATTTCGCAAAGCTGTGAAGTTGAAGCCTGGATTTCCCTGGAGATCCCAAAATACTGGAGATGCCAGAGCCGGGGGATATCTGTTGAAGAAAGCTGCTAACAAAGATTGAAACCAGTCCAAGAGAAAGAAGTGTGTTGGAGTCAAGAAAACTGAAAGGAGTTGGAGATCTGAGGAAAGCTTTGACATCAGACATAAAGATACAGAGTTTGGAGTTTGCCCAGCTGGTTTTCAATCTTGCTTTGGTCCAGTATTTCCTCACTATGCTCCCATACCTGTTTTAGAATGATAATATATATTCTGTGCCATTATATGTTGGAAGTATGTGATCTGTATTTTGATTTTAATTTTATAAGGGAATATAGTTAAGAAACTACATGAATCTCAGAAAAGACTTTGAATTTAGACTTGTAAATAAATTTGAAACTATTATAGACTCTGGGACTTTTGAAGTTGAACAAAATGCATTTTTGCATTATGATACAGCTACAAGGATTTGGGGGCCAGGGAATGGAATGTGGTGGTTTGGAAGAAAATGGCCCCCAAAGAGAGAGGCACTATTAGGAGGTGTGGTTTTGTTGGAGGAAGTATGTCACTGTGGAGGTGGGCTTTGAGGTTTTATATGTGCTTAAGCCAAGTCAATGACACAGACTTTGGCCTTTTGCCTGATTTTCAGATGTCGGACTCAGGTCCACCCCCAGACATGCCATCATGCTGCACTGTGGTGATGATGATAGTGATGATGATGATGATGGTGATGACAACCAATGATGTGGAAGTGTAAGACAGATTTCCTTCCCAAGTTGGTTTGGGCATGGTGCTTCATCACAGCAATAGTAACACTAACTAAACAGGGTTCCAGTTCCAGTGCTAAGCAAAAAACTACCTGCAGCTGATACACTCTGGCAAAAAGAAGACAGGTTTTCTCTAGTGGGGTCTCACTGGGTAGACCAACTGCACTCAGTGCAGGCTCTATGCCAGGAGTAGCTGCCAACACAAAACAAACCCAATGGTAATTTTTGTGGGCTGTTTTGACATTTTTTTTTGTCTTTGTGTCTGATTTTTTTTTAAATTTTGCTAGACCAAAAACATAAAATTGGATGAGTAGGGAGGTGGAGAGGATCTAGGAGGAACTGGGGGATGGAAAAACATTATAAAATATATTGTATGAAAATTTTTCTCAATAAAATAAAAAAAGGATTTTTTAATCAAACAGGAACATAAAAGAATCAAATTGTCTGTGAGAAACTTAATGTCAATCAAACCTGCCAAACGTGTTTTGTCAGTGGCTGGTCTCAGAAGTTAGTTTTGTGTGTCTGTCTCATTTACACTTCCTCATTCTGGACATCGAGTCCCCTTCTCTTCTGTTTTGCCACACTAAGTTGTTTCCGAAGAGTTTCAACATTCAGTGAATTTCAGAAATTTGAAATCATTTTGCAACCGGCTTATTTTCAGACTGCTCAGCAAACAGCTCTAGGCATTAGCAGAGAGTGCACACAAGCAAGCACTCTGATGCTCCCGTGTCTTCGGATCCAGCCACTCACCTCTTGGGAAAGCTGTCTTACTTGGTCCTTTTGATGGTCCAGATCTTTTAAAATTAATGAATTTTGTTTTTCTAACTGAAGAACTCTTCTTGCCAAGTGGACGCTAGGTGAAAAAAATGAAAAGTTTTCATGCATATAAAAGTAGAATAAAAGCTACCTACACTCAATAGATAACTGTGTACTAGAAAACCCACGCATCATTTCCTAATAACATATATAGCAACAGAGAAAACGACAATACAAAGTTATAAAAAACACTGGAAGAGCAATACTTCACCATCTCTGAAAGTAACAACCCTAATTTCCGCACGATAATTGTGATATACCGATCACAGTGATCTTGGTTTATTACGTTATGCTAGTAGCTTGACCGAAAAAGCTATCATTTTAACAAGTTTCCCAGTCACAAATCCGCCAGGAAATTAGCTGAATATTATGCGCAACAAATTTACATTTGGATAAGTGTTTACACAGACCAATATTATGAATTTTATAAAAAAATATAATCAAACGGGTTTCCTATTGTAAAGGGAGGTGAAAGAGATGTGCAAAATATGAAGAATAACTACAGTCCAGGCTACACTACAAGAACCTCCCTTCCTTCCAATGATTTGTATTACCACAATACACACCCCCTCTCTTGACAGGGTCTTAATCTGTAGCCTAGGCCAGCCTCAATTCATGATCCCCGTACATTCTTCAGGACACAGCAGATAGTGACTAAACTGTCTTTAAAATTTCCTGCTTCATGGAAAAGTCTGCTGGATACTATGGGCCTGTAGGCCGAAGATGGATGCCCCAATGATACAAAAAACTTTGGATGACTGTCCAGGCAGCAAGATGTCTCTGTCATTTCTGGAGTTTTGGAAGTTGCTTACTTCTCATTTACATAGGTAATATTATATCCTTCTGGAGTCTTTGATGGAGTTAAAAAATGGTTAGTTATAGTTATAGTTTTCCTTAATTATGATAAAAGATAAAATAGATATAAATATTGTAATTGTAATTCTTGCTTGATAACTGTTTTGTTATATGTAATTTTACTATGTTAAAGTAAAAGCCTTTCCTTTTTGTTTAAACAGAAAAAGGGGAAATGATGTAGAAAGGTCATCTGTCTGTGTGTTACTTTCATTGGTTAATAAAGAAACTGCCCTGGCCTTTTGATAGGCTAGCCCTTAGGTAGGTGGAGGAGACCGAACAGAGTTCTGGGAGGAAGAAGGCAGAGTCAGGCAGACCCTTCCAGAGATGGACGCTGGCTAGAATGAATGCCAGTAAGCCATGACCTCATGGTGGCATACAGATTATTAGATATAGGTTAGATATGGGTTAATCAATATGTGAGAGTTAGCCAATAAGAGGCTAAAACTAATGGGCCACGCAGTATTTAAATAAATACAGTTTCTATGATTATTTTGGGTGTAAGCTAGCTGGGATCTGGGCGGGAATGCAGCCCACTGCTCTTTCTACATAAATATTTTTTAAAAAGAGTTAATAAGAAGCCTGAGCTAATAGCCCAATCAGTTTATAACTTATAAAAACATCTGTGTGATTTTTGGGGGGCTAATTGGCTGTGGGACCTGGGAGGCCGGAAACCAGGCAGGACAGATACCCCATCAACATGCAAAGGTAAGATGATGGTGACCTGGCGATGTCAAGTGCAGTACAGTACACTGTTCATTGCTTTGGGTAATTGTTCTTAGCATAATGCTCTTATGCAGATATGGTGACAAAATGAAAAATAGCACATGGCATACATACTGAATCAAGAAATTCCATGTCAGTATTTAGTGTTAACACAGGGACAGTATCCTAGTAGGAACGTCCCTGGGTTTTAATTAAGGCGTTTGGAGATAGAAAAATAACTCAAAACAGAAGCAAGGCCCTACAGCGTGGGTATGACATGCCTGAGAACTGAAGCTGTAGTTCCAGGGATCTCACCCCTTGTGACCACCACAGGCACTGGGCACACATACACAGCATACACATATGTGCAGGCAAAACTCTCACATGCATACAGTAAAATAATACATTTTTTTTAAAAAAATTCCATACTAGGTAGTAAATTTTACAGATTAAAAATGTTCTAAACATATCTTCCAGCATCCAGATAAGCCCAATCAAAGAGGTACACACCAAGACAACAGTGCTTGGGTGTCGCCCACATGGTACAGAAACATGAGCAGTACATGCAACCAGAAAATCCTGTCTGCTGTTTCCAAATAGTTGCTACTCAAACAAAAACATTACTTCAGATTTTCAAGTTTTATCATGTCAGGGTGCTAATTTTATTTTAGTCTACTTCAAGTATCTAAGCCCTTTTTGGCTTTCCACAGTTGTGTACCAGAAAGAGTTTGAAGAAATTTTAGCAATTTATTTATGCGTATATGAAACTTCAAAGTGTGAGTACCTTATTGTATACTTAAATGCTGATCAGAAATTTTAGGGTCAGGGGGCTAGAGAGATGGCTCAGAGGTTAAGAGTATTGCCTGCTCTTCCAAAGGTCCTGAGTTCAATTCCCAGCAACCACATGGTGGCTCACAACCATCTGTACTAGGGTCTGGTGCCCTCTTCTGGCCTGCAGGCATACACACAGAATATTGTATACATAATAAATGAATAAATAAAAACAAACAAACAAAAAACCAAAACCAAAAGGTATGATGGTGTATGCCTTTAAAAAAATAAAAATAAAAAAATAAAATAAAATAAAAAGAAATTTTACGGTCAGCTGGACAGTGGTGGCGCATGCCTTTAATCCTAGGACTTGGGATGCAGAGGCAGACGGATCTCTGTGAATTTGAGGCTAGCCTGGTCTACAGGAGCTAGTTTCAGGACAGGCACCAAAGCTACAGAGAAACCTTGTCTCAAAAAACAAAAGAAAGAAAGAAAGAAAGGAAGGAAGGAAGGAAGAAAGAAAGAAAGAAAGAAAGAGATTAATTTTAGGGTTATATTTCAAATGAGAAACACAAAGCTACTGCCACTTCTTCACAGGGAACTGGCAATAGAGTGAGTGCCTGCAGAAACGTTTCACAGCAAAGAAAGCAAGGGCCCACATCTCATGTACTTAAAAATGCTTCATTAAAAATTTACAGCAAAAATTTAATTGAATTATTTTAATTGGTGTCTAGGGAGAAATTCTGGAACCCTAGCTTTTCTTGCTGTGCAACTGACTTAAGAATGTGCTAACTGATACAACCCCCTAGTGTTTACTGGACACTTACTCTATGCTAAACACTGTGAAGTGATCTTCATAAACATTTTCTCAGTTTAATGTTTAAAAATTCTTTTGGGAGCAAGAGGCTTAATTCTTTTTCATGAGATTTAACATTTTTATTGACAATAACATGGCTCAAAAACAAAAACTCTAAAAAAAAGCCCCACAGATTTAGGCAGCTATTGAAAATGATTTTGAGCGAGGCATGGTGGTGCACATCTTTAACCCTCTCACTTGGGAGGCAGAGGCAGGTGTATCTCTGTGAGTTTGAGGACGGCCTGGTCTACAAAGAGAGTTTTAGGACATGAGGGATGTTACAAAGAGAAACCCTGCCTCAAAAACCCAAGGGGGAAAAAAGAAAACGATTTTCAATGTTAGTTTTAAGGTTAGCATACAATGTAACACATTTCATCATGACGTCACACACATGCCGCCATGCCTTATTTTCACGTCCATATCTCCTTTCCCAAGCCCTCTCCCCATTCCAACTCTTCATTATTCATTCCCCAGTTACTGTATTTTGAAGAATAGTCATTGATAGAAAAATATTCATGGTGGAATAGCAGGTTAAAAACCAAACTACTAAAAATGTATAATGTACAAAAATTACAAGAAAATTAATGTTTATATAAATTTCTGATTGCTTATTTTGAATAATGGGATTATCAGCAATTTAACCAATATTAAAAATTATATAAATATTTATAATCAATTAAATGTTAGCATAAAATATTCATTATTGGCTGTTAAATATACAAAATTTTAAATCAAATTAAGTATGAAGGAGATACATTATTATAGCAGTTGAGAAATAAGTTCTTTTGAATTTTTAATACACTTTTGCATAAGCTGATAGATAATGACAACTTTATTATGCAAGCACTCCATTTACTGCTATGAGTCATTTTATATAACTCAGTTTAAATTTGCATTGCTTTACTTTCCAATGCCTAGGACTAATAAGTATAGACTCTCTAAAGACTGCATTGCTCATCTTAAATAAATTTCAAGAAGGTACAAGGCAATTGCTTTCTATATAAACAGCTCTTAAGAGACCAAATGTTCACTGCATAATCTTCAAAAGTACATCAAATCCTGTACTTTTGGATTAGGTATCAATATTCAAATTGTGCACATAGTAGGCACTCAATAAAAGTTGTTGAATGAATGGGTGTAGGGATGCATACATGTCCTCTTTGGATGTCTAGACTTACACTCTCTCTCTTCCCTCAGTTTAGATGACCTGAGAAGCACTTCCTCAAAATAGCCCTTTGGCTCACCATGAGAAGAATGCCTGGCACCAGCTGGCAGGGGTATTAATAGCACACCCATTAGGCACTTGTTCAGGGCTCACAGATAGCTCAGCGATAGAATCTTCAGAAATATTTGGACAGTTAAGATCATCTGGACTATGAATCACTTGTGGCTCTTTAAATCTTTGGGGATTAAAAACCAAATCAAATGAAACCAAAAAATCCTATCTTATGACTTTAGAAACTTCTTTAAAAAATGAGAGGCAACAACAACAACAATGTTCTGGGCTATTGAAGCGCACAGCTGGGAACTTCTCTTTCCCTATAGAGACTGTCTATAGGATTCAGATGCTTGGCATTCTTCCATAAGAATTCAATTTTGATTATTCTACCAAACATTTTATACTGATAGAGAAGTCTCTTACTCATGAGTTAGTAATTACTCACATTTCTATTCTTTTCTAGGGAACAATGGACTAAAAAAAAACAGATATATTTATAAATTGCAAACATATCCTAAGTCAGTCATATCAGCCTTTGGGAGCACCAGAAGGGATAGGATTGGCAACCAAGTTTTTTTCAAATAATATGTAACTTAGAAGCACCTGAACCTCTACTAAACAGAATTAATCATTCTAGCTACAAATTGATACTTTATTCATCTATTTGTGATCTATATTTTTCAAATATTCAATCAGTAAACAACTAAGTTCTTGAGCATTTTCTAACTTCCTTTAATGATAGTCATAATGATGAAATTTTCTCTTTATGCTGCTCCTGAGTCACTTTGGAGAGGCGGCTCAGTGGTTAAGAGTGTCTACTATGCTGTAAAGACCCACGTTCTTTCCCAGGCCCCATGATGGGCAGCCGACAACCACTGTAACTGCAGCTCAGCTCTGACGCTCTTTCAGATGTACACATGAACAGGCACACACAGAGATCTGATGTCCTCTTTCCTACTCTCCAGGGACCTGAGCTCACATGTGCAAAAGACACTTGCATAAAAAAACATGTGTGCACACACATACACTTAAGAAATAAAAATTTAAGCCAGGCGGTGGTGGTGCACACTTTTAATCCCAGCACTTAGGAAGCAAGGCAAGCAAATCTCTTGAGTTCAAGCCCAGCCAGGTCTACAGAGTTAGTTAGGATAGCCAGTGTTACACAGAGAACCCCTGTCATGAAAAAGAAAAACAAAACAAAAGAAACAAAACAAACAACATCTATTTTTTGAAATTTAAAACGCCTTAAAAGGTATCACAAGATAGATTTTCTTATTTTCTGTATTTCTGAATTTCTAACTTAGCCCCATAAAACAATTAGACAAACAATTAGACTATCAGTTTTGAAACCTTAAGCATTCAGATAAAGAATGTTTTTAAACTAGGTATTCTGCACCGAGCTAAGGAAAGTCAGAGAATAAGATGTGGTTGCTGACCATGAAGAACTTCTGTCGAGGTGAGAAAATTACAAGAAATGATGGCTGAAAAGAACAAAACATGTTACTGTGGTGATGGAGGAAGGTCATTGGCTAATCAAGGAACTGCCTTGGCCCACTTTATTGGTTAGAAGATAGGTGGGAGGAGTAAACAGAACAGGATACTGGGAGGAAGAGGAAGTGAGCTCAGAGAGACTCAACAGCTCTCCTCTCGGGGAGCAGACGCCTGAGAGAGACACCATGCCCCGCTCCCGGGCAGACACACGCCATGAAGCTCCGACCCAGGATGGACTAGGCTAGAATCTCCCTGGTAAGTGCACCTAGGGGCGCAACACAGATGATTAGAAATGGGCTAAATTAATATGTGAGAATTAGCCTAGAAGAGGCTAGATAGAAATGGGCCAAGCAGTGATTAAATGAATACAGTTTGTGTGTTGTTATTTCGGGGCATAAACTAGCTGAGCAGGCGGCTGGGGTGCTGGGAACACAGCCCCACCGCCCTTACTACTACACTGTGGTGTAGAGAGAACAGATGTTTACAAGTGGAGATGCAGTATTACTGTCATTGTGAGTAGAGAGGCAAATAAGGTTGCTGATACAGGGCCACATTATGGAGGGGTTTGCAAATCTGGCAGACGTGTTCAGATTGGAGGTGGTAAAGTGGAGCCGTTGGATGTTTCTGTACAGCAGGATGCACTCAGGGAGGAAGAGCTAGCAGCACTGACCAGCGCAGGTGTCTGCTGTGCAGTGGAGATAGCTTTCAAGCAGAACTGCACCGTACAGCAGGATGCACTCAGGGAGGAAGAGCTAGCAGCACTGACCAGCGCAGGTGTCTGCTGTGCAGTGGAGATAGCTTTCAAGCAGAACTGCACCGTACAGCAGGATGCACTCAGGGAGGAAGAGCTAGCAGCACTGACCAGCGCAGGTGTCTGCTGTGCAGTGGAGATAGCTTTCAAGCAGAACTGCACCGTGTGCCTAGCACATCCTCCATCACTTCTTTTGGTCTCCATGGAGCCTTAGCTGCAAATGCTCTTCTTTTCTTTTTCTATCTCCTTCCACCTTCCTTCCTCTCCCCCTTACCTGCCTTTCCACCTCCTTCTCTTCTTTTTCTATCTATGTAGACCACAGACTAGCCTAGAATTGACTACATGGCTCAGGTAGAACTCAGTTCTCAAGTTTTAAGACCACCCTGCCTGATGGTGGGGATTAGGAATGCATCATGTCTTGTGGCTAGCCTTGTGTGGTTTATTTTTTATATGAATTGGGATCTAGAAACATCTAGGAGACAACAAATGCCTTACAGACATCTCAGCATATCTGTAGGAGATTATCTAGATGAGATGAGCCTGCCCAAAATGTGGGTGTCACCGTTTCAGGAGTAGGTGTCTGAAAATGAATATAAGAGAAATGGAGCCATCAATAGCAATCATCACACTCTGCTCCCTTCCTGTGATCACAAGGTCACCAGCCACCTCAAGCTCCTCTTGCCACAACTTCTTCATGACGGACTGCGCACCCTCAAAGCGTGAGCTAAAATAAACCTCCTGCCTTAAGGAGCCTCCTTCCGCTGCTCTGTCACAGGAACAAGTAACTACACTCTGTGGATTTAAGTGCAATACATATGCTTTCTCCATATTTCCCCCTTGAATATATTTGCTATATATTGTTATAAATAGCACATACTATACATATTAAAATATATATAAAGGAATATAGGCAGATGAATAACAAACAAGGGATATAGGAATTGAAGGTGCATAGTTAATTAGTTCCAACCTGAAAGTTACTGCTACAAAGCATTTATATTTACCTGAAATTAGTGTGAAAATAAAATGGCCTTTAAAAAGTTACTGCATCTACCACCATGAAAGTTCTAATGTTCACATCTACTAGTCATTAAATTCACTTAAATATAGATGAAGCTCATGGTTATTACCATGTTCTACTTTGTGAGCAATTTAATATTTATGAATATTAAGAACAGATAACTTCATCATTCAACTCAGTACATTATCAAAATGTACTATGCAGTTACACTTAGCTTGAGTAGATAAGATAGATCTATATTGATTTACCTTTGCTGTAGTCGTCTCTTAGCTGTTGTGGGAACATTAGCACCATAGCCATAGGAATAAAGAATCCTCTCAGCCTCATCTTCATTTTCAACTGAAAGATATTAAAATATGTGCTGTGAAATAGTGTTTCTCCTTAAAAAGCATAGCTAACGTGAAAATAAAAAATTATGATAACAAATTAAGAATCCCAAGAACATTTGAAAGGGCTCATGCATAATTTGAGAGAGGTGAAGTATATTAAAGTGTATCCTTGCTTGGAGTTGCTGATTATTTTGAGAAGATATTAAAGGATCACATCTCTTGAAAGGCTATGTTTCCTATAGAGCACAGCAAGTCAGGTTTGTCATTCTGAAGGGTCCAAGGGCTTCCTACCATTAAGTATAGATTATAATTCAACAAAATTATAGATTTGATTTAATAAAGGCTAATTTTGTTTTGCTTTGGAGACAAATTCTCATTTAGTCTAGGCTTCCCTTGAACTTGCTAAGTCAAAGATAGCCCTGAGGCTTGATCCTCCTGCCTTCACTTCCTGAGAACTGGGATCACAGAAATATACAACCATGCTGTGTTTCCATGGTGCCAAGGACTGAATCCCAAGCTTCTTAAATGCTAGGCAGAAAATCTCCCCTCAGAGCTGATCTCTTGCCCATGAAAGACATGCTGGGCATTCATTTGTAACTGCAGAACAATTTCAGGGAAATAATTTAAAAAATATTGCAACTGTCATAAAACTACATATAATGGATCTGAACTAATGAATTAGCTTCTTAATGCATGAATGTTTAAATGCAATGCCATTTTTTTTTACTGGTGTGTGTGTGCATTTGTGTACTCTTAATATTAACAGGCAAAACTAACATTCAGATTTAGAACAAAGCCAAATATATATTGTGAGTGAAGCTTGACTGTGCGTGAGTATCAGTGTATTATGTACATAACTCTGAGAAGTACTTGTGTGGCAGAGTTTTAAAAAAATTACAGTTGTTTTCCTTTAATTTTGTTAGTACTTCTCATCGTAAGCCAGGCCAAGACTTTAGAGGCAGGATTATAGTTAGGAGGGCACAGGAAAGAGATGCTATCCCACTGCCGTGTCTCAGCAATCCCTATGACAGAGTCTAGATCATCTCTAACACAACACTCAAATAGAGCTATCACTGGATACATATTTGATTCCTGTCTGTCTTAAATGGCTCTAAATTCAGAGCAGAGAGAGGTAAAGCTAGTTGGTATAGTTAGATATTGATACAAGTGCTAAATCTGAGTTTAATGCTTAATGGTTAACACCTCATGCAGTAACTACCCTAGGATTCTATTAGAAAAACAGAGGCCCATACAACATGGGAAGTGATACAAGAGAGACTGAATGTCAGTATGCCATAGGAGCAGAGCAGAGCGCAAAGCAACTTACATGAATGCCAGCCACTATTTCTTCTCCTAGAAGTCATTAGCAAGACGTGGAAATTGATATTCAAGAGAAGGCACAGCAGAGAATTATATTTGCAGAGGCATAATCTTGTGGAGTATACAGTGTTAGTAAATGTGACAAATATGGCTAGATTTAACCTGGAAAGTGTTGGTAAAAGGAGGCTTAGCTCTAATAGTGATTGGAACAAAAATCTTTATAGGCTAAGGATTTTGTTCCATGGTAAATAAACTCAGGTCTGTGGCTTGGGAACTCATTTATTAATCATCTTTTCTGAATGATTTTGATGATGACTTCCCTATCTCTCCATAGCAATTGCTTTCGGGCCCTATCCTCAAGATCTTATCCTACTCCAAGTGGGGCTGATTCTTTCCTTTTCTGCAGAAGGTGCACAGCTTCAGGTATTCCACAGAGGTCTCTATTCAAGTTGACACTGGTATGCTGAGGCACACTGGCCTTAGGATGGCCAAGGTTAAGTACCATTATTGGACAATTTCTTTTCTCGTACTGACTGTTTTGTTGCTTTTGTTGATGAGCAAACACAAGTGCACATGGATCTGTTTCACTGTTGTGTCTGTCTTTATATTACTGCTGTAATATAGCTAGACACTGTACCTTTACAAACAATATTAAAGTCAGAGAAAGCCATTCTTGCAATTTTGCCCCTTTGGTTCTTCTTTTACAATCTTTGGATTTCCATAAACAAAAATATAGAAAGAGCATGTAGGAATTGGGATCAAGACAAAGTCAGATCAAATGGACAGAATTCATGATAAAGTTCTTGGCAGTTAGGGAGAGATTCCTTATTTCTCTTAGTATTTTGTCTTTTTAGTGTTGGTAAGCTGACTCCTAAGAATTTATTTATTTTTTGACATTACTAAAGAAAATTCTTATTATTATTATTAGTTTGGTTTTTCGAATCAGGGTTTCTCTGTGTAACAGCCCTGGCTGTCCTGGAACTTACTCTGTAGGTTGACATCTAACTCACTGAGACCTGTTTGCCTTCTGGCTCCTGAGTGCTGGGATTAAAGGCATGCACCACAACCACCCAGCTAAGGAAATTAATTTTATATTATTTTTTCAGTTCAGGGTTTTAAATTTATATGTGTATCTGTGTGTATACTTTATATTTTGGTACATTTATTTAGGTTTAGTAGTCATTTCATTTGAAAATGAAAAGGCCATCTTTTGCTTTCTGGTCTCCTTCCTCGCACCCTCCACCCACGCCTCAGAATCTTAAACTTGGAGTCTGCCTGCTCCATCTTCCTGACCAGTGTATGCAGTCCTGCACTTGACTCTGTCCAAGAACCTAAGTCCGAGTTACACCCCAGCTCTCATCTTCACAAGATTGTGCCTTCCCTCTGGCCTGACTTCATTAGTATGCTCAAACACAGTTTACTGTGCTGTCAAAGTAGAAGCCTGTGCCCTGTTCTCTCTAGTGGGGAACACATTCAGCATTCACTCCACTTGTTTAACAGTAGCCGTGGGTTGTCTGTAGCTATCCTTCAACAGAGAAACACTTCGATTACTAATCTGCTTAGACAAGATGACATATGTCAAGTAAAACAATTATAAGAGTATGGACATTTAGATAATAATGTGACAAAAAAGGGCAAAGTGAAACATGAAAGCTAGACAGATAAACAGGACTCATCATAAAGTCATACAAGCATGCCTGACGCTATGTATTTGGCTGTTTTTGAAGAGGGTTTTGTTAAGTAGTCTATACTGGTCTTGAACATGTGACCCTCTTACTTAAAAGGACTGAGTACTGGACTACTGACGAGTGTTCAGCTCCCACCCAGTACTGTGTGCTGATTTAGTAAAACAACAGAGAGACATTAAGCAGGCACACGTAGGGTCAAGCCTGGGTTTCACAAAGGTCATGTGGACACAGTGAAGAAGCTGCAGCTCACTCTGGGATCTACTGCGGTCGTCAGACACTGACAATGACAGAATGAGATAGCACCTTTAAATAAAATGTAACCTGACATGAAGAGCATCGCAAACCATCAGGACCTTACCTAGATTCTAATTCAGTTCAAGGGAAGTTCCAAACCACTTTTATAAGAAAGCCAATTCTAAACTTTGAACAGAAATAAGGTACAGCCATATTAAATGCTAATTTAAATGTTAATTTAAAACATCCCTTAAAATTTCAGATAAGACAGATGAATATGGTGGCACAGCCCTGTCTTCCCAGCTCTTGAGAGGCCAAGGCAAGGAAGATCACAAGTTCAAGATCAGCCTGGGCTGGTCTGGGCTGTGAGCAATCTGTCTCAAAATTAAAACTTACAGGAACAAAAAGAACAAAAAAACGAAAGAGTCAGTTGCTAGAGTGTTGCATAGAGCCCCAAAGTCAATATCCAGTCCACATAAGGTAAGCAAGGTGCAGCTATAGTAATCCAAGCAGCCGGGGCTGGAAAGGAGGGGGTTCAGCTCAAGTTCATCCATTATACCAAACAAGTGTGAGGCCCAGCACGGGTGACACAAGAAAAGAAATAAAAAAAAAAAAAATCAAGGTAGGATGATGGGAGGGCAAACACATGAAAATTAAATATCGAAGATTATAATCTAGTATGCTATTGAATTCATGTATCACCTCCCCTTTTAGTTATTTCTCATCTCAAAGGTTTGATTAATACAGAGTTGAGGCTGGTTTAGAACTGGACATCGTCCTGCCTCAGTTTCCTGAGTGGAGGATTACAAGAGTGTATCCCAGTGACCACTATCAGTTTCCGGTTTTCACTGCTGTGCTAGGGGCTGAATCCAAAACTTATAAGCGTGGACGAGCACTCTACCAGTGAGCTACATGTCCAGTCTCAAGACAAAAAATTTTTACAAACTTTGTATTCCTAGCTCTTGACAGAAAGAAAATTTAGTACTTATAGAATGAGTGAATTAAACATAAAATCTATTAAATTTAACCTATTTATTTTTTTAGTCTAGCTACTGAAAACTTATATCAAGAAATACTGAAAATAGAGAGTATTCTTTTAAAATGATCATCACTTATATTTTCAATATATATATATTTATGCCAAGGTAGTTTTCGAGATGATGCTAGCTTTCCTCTGTAGCCAGAGGAAGGAAAACTGTCCACAGTGTAAGCAGAGGGGGTGGGGCAGACTTACTTTCTGCTGTCTGCATTATTATTTCGTCAAGCTCTTTTTCCAATTTCTCGTAAATGTCTAACCTTGCCTGATGATCAGAGTTCTGCGCTTCGAGTTCAGTAATGCGTTTTTCAGAAGAGCTTTGGAGATTATAAAATTCTTTAGTTAAAACCTAAAGAGGAAGAAAAGAATGACAAAAGCCCAAAGAAGTCAGAATTATTCAGGTTCCCAGCTAAAAGATGACGCAGAGATATATTAAAGCCATTTCGCCTTTCAGCTATTCAAATGTTAAGAAAAAGTAGCTCAACTCAGAGGACAAAGGCGAAAATGACATTTATTTCTAAGGTAAATAATTCTGATGCTTTAATTCAAAGAACTGAGGGGCAAGGTTAGCATTTGCTTGTTAGAGTTCACAGAGATACAGCAGTGTGAAATCTACCTGGGGTCCCTTCTTAGGCAGCACAAAACTGCATAAAGGCAGTGTGATGAGCTCTCCAGTTTTCCACTGGAGTTACTTGACCTGCCCTGGCCACGCTTTTAGCATTTTTGGTTTCCCAGCAGGCTTGAGTCCAAGTCAAAAAGTAAATGTAAATCTCACATAGGGCAGTAGCAGAAATGCCTTTGCAAAGAAAGGGTTTCTTAAAAAATTCTTTAAAAAGGATTAAGAGATACAAATTCTTTGACTGTTACTACATAAATGCACGTACAACCTGCTGAGTCCATTTGCTGACTTTTTTCTTTTTTAAAAAGTTTGGGGCTTGCCAGACAGCTTGGCAGATAAAGGCACTTAGTGCATTAAGTCTGGTGACCTGAGTTCAATCTCTGTGACCCACGTAAAGGTGGGAGGGAAATAATTCTTTAGGTTTTCCTCTCACCTTCCTGTATGTGCAGTCGCACATATGCCCACACATCAGCACATCATTCATACACACACAATAATAATAAATCAAAAAAATTTTATGGTTATTTTATGGTATTGGAGATTGTGCATGCTAGGCAATAGCTTTGCCACTGAACTACATCCTCAACCCAAGCGCCAGTGTATATAGTTAAATGAGGGTCTATGCATCTACTCTGAAAAAAGTATATTTTACACACTGTAAAATCTTAAAATATCAATTGATACTGTAACACACAGGTGTTTTGAATGGGACCATAGTGAGATTTTCAGTGCCACGTTCGCCACTATTGTAAATAACATTGTGATGAGCAACTGTGCATGAAGCATTTTACATATTTAAAATACAGCCCAACCATACACAGTGCCAAACTGTTTTCCAAAAACAATATGTTCATCTAGAACACACAGATGTTTTAAAGTAGTGTTGAAATGATAGATCAACAAATGGCTACAAAATTATTTTAGTATTTCATACATACATACAAAATCCATACATTTTATAAGCTAGAAAAATTCTATAATTGATTCACATTATAAGTGAGATGTTATTTTTATATGTGTGAGTGTATACACCAGTGGAAGCAGAAGAGGGCAATGGATCTCCTGGAACCGGAGTTACAGATGCTTGTGAGCCATCATGTGGTTGCTGAGAATACAACTTGGGTCCTCTGGAAGAGCAGCCAGTACAGTTAGCTGCTGATGAGACATCCATCTCTTCAGCCCCCAGAAGAGGTTTTTAGTTGACTAATTTCAAGTTTCATTATCTCCCATTTTGTATTGACCTATAATTGCATGCTTTTGTAACCAAGTACATTCATATGCAGAATTTTTCTAGCTTATAAAATGTATGGATTTTGTATGTATGTATGAAATACTAAAATTATTTTGTAGCCATTTGTTGATCTATCATTTCAACACTACTTTTAAAATATCTGTATATTCTAGAAGAGCATATTGTTTTTGGAAAACAGTTTGGCACTGTGTATTGTTGGGCTGTATTTTAAACATGTAAAATGTTCAAATTTAGCTGACATCTAAATATCATGTTTTTAAAAATGTAATAAATGTTTTCTCATTTCTTTAGTAATCTTACAAATATTGACTATTCTTTATCTATTCTTCTACTTTGTAATCTTAAAAAAATATTGATTGTTCTCTATTCGTCCACTTGTACCACAGAATTACTGTGCTGGGTTAAAGATATGCTGAAAATTGGCTCTAGTTTCCAAGCTCCATACTGCAGAAGGGAAGAACTGACTACTGTGAGTTGTCCTCTGACTTCCACATGCCCTCTACCACATACACAAGCATGCATACACATGTGCACAAGAGTAAGCAAATGTAAAATTTTAAATGCTAAAATATTAGAAACAGTTTTCTTAATGAAAACTGAAAAACATAAAATACCAACCTTCTAGAAGGACTGTGTTTTGTCTTATATACACATTATAGTTCTACTGTTTTCTTCACAGTGACTTCATTTTTCTTACAATAAGTATTCCCAGCAATCATGTGCTTTTGGTTGTCAGTATTAATAAAACCTTTGCTAAATTCTTTTGAAAAACAATTTTAGTCACTTTTGGTCACATATGCTGCTATTCATATATCTTTTCGTTTACTGCTCTTTTGGGTTTGAAATGGGCTCGTTACATAGCTCTGGCTGTCATGTGGACCTCAGACTCATCACCTGTCTCAGCCTCCAGCGTGCTGCAATTCCAGCTGTGCTCGACTACTCCTGGCTTTTTCCTTCCTTTCTTGTGAGGGAGAATGTGGCTCTACATAAGTGTCATACTGAGGAAGCTTACACTCTCTGCTCACACTGAAGGAGAATAGCACAGAGGTACCTCCAATTTCTTCTGATACTTTTCACATTCCATCTGGCACTGTGTGAGGTTTCTTGCAGTTTCCTCCTGCAGGAGTTGAACGCGTTCACTCTCGAAGGCCTTCAACTTACTCTGATGGAGAAATTCCGATACTTTGCTTTCGGCGCTAAGCTGGAGCTCTCTGTACCTGAAAGAAGAGAACGTGATGGGCCTTCTAGAGCAGGTGGAAGGCTGATGGATGCGCAAACCTCATTTCTCCTTTCCACATCACCATATTATGATTACACAATTAATAATTTATCTTTATTCAGAAAAGCTTTTATAATTTAGTTAGGCATATGTATGGTAATACATACTAAAATATCTGCTTGAATAGTACAAGAAAATTATGTGCCAAATATCAAATAGTATATTTAACACAGAGAGGAACATTCTCATTATTTCATAAGTATAACTAGGAAAAACATTTCTAATTAACATACAAATCACAACATAGTCTAACTTTGAAAATATTCCATGTTGTGTTCTAAGAGAAAGCAAAGCAGACACAATGTATTCTTTTCATACAGCCCCTATGAGCCCATTAAAATGTTATGTATGTTATTAAAATTCATTTATTCAAATATTGAGCTAGTAACTATAAGCAATAATGGGACTACATTAGTCAAAGAGTTGTTCTTTTTCTCTTAAGAAACTTACAGTCTTCTGGAGAATATAGGAAAATAAAACATGAAAATCCAAAAGTGGTAAGTGATTCAGTGTGTGTGTGTGTGTGTGTGTGTGTGTGTGTGTGTAATCTAAGAACATGCTAAAGGCCACCTCACTCGGCATACTTATCTTTGGCAATAGTGTCTCACATGCAGGCTAGAGAGGGTTCCAGGCAGTGCATATGATACACCTTGTAATGGCAAGTGCTTACAATTTCATTAAAAATACTGTGTTAGGGGTTGGAGGGATGGGTCGGCAGATAAAGTGCTGGCTGCATGAGCAAAGGGCTGGAGTCCACAAAGTCATGATGGAATACATTCCTAGTCTCAGAACTGGGGAGACAGAGACAGGAGGATCTCTGATGCTTGTTTGCTGCCCAGTGTAGCTAAATTAATTTCACGTTCAGCAAGAGACCCTGCCTCGAAAAATAAGGTCAAGAGCAACTGAAGAAGACACTTGATATTGACCTCTGGCCTCTATACCCAGTGCACACCGTGCCCTCAATACATGTGTAGACAAACATGTACACACATATTCTTTATACGGAAAAGCACATATTGGCAAAATTATATGTTGAAATATAATTCATAAACCACAAATCTCACCATTTAAAGGAGGACCAATTCAAGCGTATTTAATAAGTTCACAAAGTTATTCACCACTGCCACCCGATACAATATTTTTAGTGTGTATACACGTGTGTGCAAAAGCATGTGAAGGCCAAAGGTGAAGCAGGGGTGCCATTCCTTGGGAACTGTCCATCTTGTGCTATGAGACCAGGCCTCCCTGAGCCCTCTCACTGGTCAGGCTAGGCTGGCTGGCCAGCAAGCTCCGCAGTCAGGAGTCTTCTTGATTCCTCCCTAGTGCTGGGGATGACAACGCATCTCTGCATGCCTGGCTTCTTGGTGTGTGTCTTTTGAGTTATTTTCTACCCATTCTTCCTCTGGCCTCGGCAACTATTAGTCTTTTTCTTTTTTAAATGGATTTGCTTACTGTGAATGCCTCAAATAAATGGATTCCTAGCAGGATTTGATGTTTTCAAGGTTCCCTCACATTGTAGCATGAATCAATACTGTATTTCTTCTCATGTCACTTTATGGATATACCCGATCTGCTTATCCACTTAACAGCTGGTGAACAGTTGAGCTGTTTCTGCTTCTGGACTATTATATGATGACATATGAACATTTGTATGCAAACTTTTGGAAACGTGCTTCCATTTCCTGTGCTTAGAAAGGAACCCTATTAACTGTTCGAGGAATTGTCAGACATTTCCTAATACAGTTGTATCATTTTACACCCCGCCAGCAACAAAGGGCGTGACAGTTTCACCACATCTATTTGAACCCTTATCAATGTCTACTTTATTACAGATATTCTAACTGGTGTGGAGTGATACACACTAAAAATTTATTAATTCAGTATTTTATTGTAATGAAAATGCCTCTTTACTCTTTAGGTCAGGTTGTATTGCAAATTTAAACGCATAAAACACATGAAATCATCTGGCATGATGTCACACAACTGTAAGCCTATATCGGGGAGGTGGAAGCATGAGGTTAGGGTCATCTAACATTACATAGCAAGTTCAAGGCCAACCTAAGATTTTTTGAGACTGTCTCAAAAAAAAAAAAAATCAAACCCACCCCATTCAACCCCAAACCAAAGGCTTAATGTCAATATTTTCTCTGAATGCTAAACTGCAGGCCATATATAAACTAAGTAGATTTGGTAAGTAATTGAGAATGTGGTGTTGACCTTTAAGGTAATCGATTTTGGAAAGATTAATCTGAAAAATTTGCCTTTTATGGGTCTAGAACACTTTAGGTGTTTTTGACACCAAGGGCAACTTCATCAAGCAATTAGACCAGCTCTCAGCATCACGTGCTCTTCCTCACGACCAGGCACCCGAACGTTTAATTCAGCACTCATGTTCTTTCTATATGAAACACAAAGCTGTAGACAACATTCAGACACCTGGAATTTGAAAAACTATCCAACCGAAAACATAAATGTCTCCTACTGTCCAAGTGTAGTTAGTAGAGCAGTTTCCCTAAAGCTAAATGATAATTCTCAACACTAATTTATTGTCACATTGTTTAACCAGGAAAGAACTTGCCTTCAGTCATCATGTGTTTGTAATAGTCTTGATTGTTTTAATTTCCTAAATTGAACTGTGAAGTGCTGAGCAAACACAATGACTACTAAAGCAGGTCCAACCGTGGGGAACGGATGCCGCCAGAGCTCAGCCCGCAGTTTCAGGTAACTCCCTCCCAACTTGTTCCGAGCACAGAACCTGCTGCCTTCTCCACTGCTGACTCAGACCTCTCAGCTCGTCCTCTCAGGCTGCACACTGTGCAAGTCTGTACTGTCCACACAACAACTTCATGTTTGGTGTTCTACTTCAGCAGGGCAGAAGCTTGGGAGGTCAAATCGCTAAGGAGCTGAATCAGAAGGTCTACTTGGCCTTGCAACCATCTTGTCCTGGGCTTGGTATTGGGCTACATTTGTTGTTATGATGTATTTGTAACCAGCCCTAGTTTTCATAAGAGCCACCTAGACATCAGACACTACTTTAAACAAGAACAGAAAGTTTTAGAACAAACTATTTGAACTATTTAAATATCCCCTCCAACAGATTTAAGAGTTAGAAGAACAAAGAAGAAAAAGAAGAAGTGAAAATTTGTTACTACATAGAAAGTTACACCTCAAGAAAGTGCTCACAGGAGTAGAGGGAAGGGAGGAGGAGCTGAATCGGTTAGTGTTTGCTTTGCAGGTGGATGGCCCATGCTTATAATCCCTGTTCTGGAGAGGCAGAGACAGGCAGATCCCTGCAGCTCCGTGGTCAGGCAACCCAGCACACTACGTGAAAAACCTCATGTCAGAAAAAAGTCAAACAAAACCCACAGTACACCACAAGAACAACACTTGCATCTTTCCTTTAACTTCCACAAGGGCCTGCCTACCAGTGTGCACAGAAGCGCGCGCGTGCATACACACACACACACACACACACACACACACACACACTACAAATTAAGAAAAAAAGGGAGGGGGGGGGAGTGCCAGAAACAAGGTCATGATGCCAAGTAACATTTTTTAGACCTTTCTCCCTGCCTTTTTTTGGGGGAGGGAGGGGCTCTGCTGCCCCAGCTCTTTGAGATAGGCTGTTCTCTAGGTTAGACTGGCCCTGGGGCTCACTTTGTAGGACAAACAAGATCTTGCACTGCTGATCCTCCTGCTACCTCCCCCGTGCTAAGATTATAGGGGTATGCCACTCCACCAGGAATCACTTTCCACTCCTGCCACTCCCACTTTTCCTTCTTCCTTCCTTCTTCACCCTTTTCCTTCCTGTTGGCAACCGAACACAGACTCAAGTGTCTGCTCCTAAGGCTCATTCTTCCCACTATGAAACTTTTATTTAATCTCAGTTCATTCAAATGAGAAATAACTGCTTTTTAAATTTTGTCTACAAAATATTTATGGCTTTCACTACATTAAAACTGGACGTGTAAGCCGGGCGGTGGTGGCGCACGCCTTTAATCCTAGCACTCGGGAGGCAGAGGCAGGAGGATCTCTGTGAGTTCGAGACCAGCCTGGTCTACAAGAGCTAGTTCCAGGACAGGCTCCAAAACCACAGAGAAACCCTGTCTCGAAAAACCAAAAAAAAAAAAAAAAAAAAACAAAAAAACAAAAAAAAAACAAAAAAAAACCCCAAAAAACTAGATGTGTATTTGGAACACAACTACCTAATCTCATTTTGTAGACAAGCAGTGTATGACAAACTACCCAAATGTATTGTAGTCAGTGGTAATGCTCATGCAATCTCCAGAACCAGGAAATGATTGTATATTAGGAAATTTACCAGCTGGTCCAGTTTGGAGGGAGGACAGTGAAATGGCCGAGGCGGAGCACTTGTTTGTATTCAGTAAGATGACTGAGTACAGAAAAGGGAAGGATGGATGCTCCTGCTCCAGGCGGTCTGGCAGCACGAGGGAGGGGATCTCAGGAGCTGCAGGAAAGCACCTGCAGACTAGGGTACCCTGCCTCCCCCCACCTCCCGGTGCTTTAAGATGGGCAGTACACAGAATCCTAGGGCTTCCCAGTCTGGGCTGGGACTGGGAAATCCTGACTGTAGTTTGAATTCTACAAGCGACTGAGGGCAAAGGCTTCTGGAAGACATTCTGTACTTAAAGGCAATGCTTTGTCACAGAAATGTCCCTGGATATCCAGTCTTTGGTGCATTAGCTGTAGGGAATGGGAGCTGACAAGGGCAGAAACTAAAGAATCTAATCAGTTTGTTTTTTTGAATCACATTTGAATTTCCAAAAGCAAAATACATGTTTTAAGGAGTCAGGTTGCTCCAAAGGCCCTATTGAGCAATTTAAAGTTTATGGCCACTAATGTTCTACTGTGGTAGAGAATATTCTTACTTGTTTCCTCATGTTCTGATAATGCTTCTTTTCAAAGGAGAAGACTGAGTCATCCCCTTCCCACGTATTTAGATACTAGCCATGGCTGCCGTTCTGCTCCTGAGAGTTTATGTCATGGGAAGGATGGTGATTGTGAGGGGAGGTCTCGGAAAAGGAGGGAGAGGGAAAGCTTACTTTGCATGGTTTGACTTAGAAGTGATTTCACCAACGGCAACTCAAATTTGGTAAGGGAAATTTAAAAAATAAAAATTAAGTACTTTTTATTTAAACCACACATGTATTAGCCTATAAAAATAATTAAAAATAAATTTAATATTAAAAATAGTTATTAAATTATAAGAACTTATTATTTGACAAGAAAGATTTCCTGTTGTTCAGATTCTATACTAGCTTAGTGCATTTTGTATATAATTTTGAATTTTGAAGGTTAGGGAGCAAGTCTGAGGCTCCATCAGCACACGCTGTCCCACTCAACTGCACCCTAGTCCTACACAGGCACACCATGTCCTCAATTGGGACACTCTTGGGCTCCAGGTACAATTACAGTTACATGTGACAAGAGAAGAAGTAATGAGTGTCACACATGTGGAAGTATTCAATGGCGACAACTTAAGAACAGTTACTATGTATTAGAAACCAGTCGTGGTGGTTCACACCTGTAGCTGCAATACTTAGCAGGTAGAGGAAGAATAGTACTATGTATTAGAAACCAGTCGTGGTGGTCCACACCTGTAGCTGCAATACGTAGCAGGTAGAGGCAGGAAGCTCTTTAGCATTGTAATGAGTTGAAGGCCAGCCTAGGCTATCTAAGATACTAAAAAAAAAAAAAACCAAAAAACAAAAACCTCCCAAGCCAAAACAAAAGAATAATTACTATTTATTAGAGACTAATTCCATGTTGGTGTTAAAATAGAAAATGCTATGTGAGATTGTGACACACATACCTACAAAACTAATCTAAACCCTTTTAAATGAGAAGTGGTGGAGCAATCCAGGAACTTAAGTAGACCCACATAAAGGTACACACAAAGCTCCTGTCAAAATGGACTTTCCTTCTGCACTGTGTGTTTTCCAAATTGAAAAGAAATCGAGTATGGAAAACAGAAAACTCTCATCAATGTGGCAACAATGATTACCACAGGGCACGAGAAAAGAATGTAAAAGGCAGTTGGATATTCGTGCAAACGTTTCTGTCATTTACATTTCTTCAACCAGTTAGTTCTCAGCTGCAAAACGACATCTGTCATTTTTGGCTTACAAGCTAATTCTTAAATGAATGTGAGAGATGTTTTTTTGCAGAGTTAAAAACGCTGAGTATGTTTAACAACTGTACCATGGATTTGTGAGAATTTCAAGCATGTGTTTAGAGTAATTCAATGCAGCTATCATATCATGATCAAATAAAATTGTGAGGTTATTAATAAAATAAACACTATGTAGCAATATTTGGCAACTATGTTAAGGCAAAAAGTAGATTTTTCTAGCTATGCACTTAACTGATAAAGTAAAAGTACTTAACTGAAAGAAATACAAGAAAGGAATGCTGTCTTAAAATAAACCAGAGCATACAGGATAGAGTAAAATATTTCATAACAGTGTTCGAATGGTGTTGCTTTCTGTTTTTTCTTCTCGGGAAACATGACAACACTTAAAATTCAGCTGGAACGATCTTTGAGCCATGAGTACTTACGGTATTTGTGCTTCGCCGCACGCCAAACTCCATCCCACAATCCTGTCATTGCTTATGTGTAGTAGGCCATACAACGAAAAAGAATGGGATACGTGAACCACACCTACAAACATTAGAAGAAGCACCTTTTGTTGTGTGTGGCAGCATAGCCTATGATCTGCCATATCCAATGCTGTGTCTTAGGTTCAGTCCTTAGTACTCCCCATCAGAAGAGAGAAAGGAAGCACTTCTGGAGGCTGCTTGACCACAAACAGCATGAAGCAGAAACAGAAGCAGGGTGAAGGCAAACCATGAACACAATGTGCTGTAAGATTTAAAGGGAGTAAAGAAGTCACAGATGTGCTCATTTCTGGAGAAAATTTATAGACAGGTCCAATAAATCTCACCTTGCAAGAAATGACTTAGAATTTAAGGGGAACACTCTTCAATGGGGGCGGGATTTAGCAATGGGTTTTTAAACCTCTTAGGGCTGGTAACCTGGATCGTTCACAAGCCTTCCAAATGGAAAGGACGGCTCCGGAGCTTGGTTTGATATAGCCTAGCCTGGGAAGACAGCTGAACTATCTCTACAATTGCTAAGAATTAGAAATATCATGGCTCTGACTTGGCCAAATAAATCAAAATCTCTAAAGACTAAAAAAAAAAAACCTACTTGAGTTGGGGGCAATTAAATGAGCTCACACAAGCAAAAGGGCGACAGTGGTGCTTTGCACTATGAAAACATTTGTTTCTGTGAGTACACAGTTCTTGTCCAGTTCAGATATGGGTGCCTAGCATCTAGTATATTAGTGGGAATACTTGAAATTTATAATGAATCCTTACTGAAAGAACAGTGACATTAACTAACAATTTCTGGTGTTGTAAATTTTAAATGTCCAAATAAGTTAAAAGCAGGCCACAAAACTAAACCTCAGAAGCCAATCTGATAAAGAACAAGCTTTTTTTTTCTATAGGATGACAAAGGCAGCGAGTTAAGATGACTATTTCCAGGGTTGGATGTCAGGGTAAGATAAAACAAATTATAGGGAAAGAAAAAAAGAGAAGCAAAAATAATTACAGGTTAGGTATGACTGAGCTATAGGAAAAATAAAAGTTTCTAAAAATGTAGAGTTTGGATAATGATAGTGGTGGTGGAAAGAGCGTGACAACATCCCAGAAACACTGAACAAACAAAATGCAAAGAAGGAACAACGAAATCTGATAGAATCTGAGTTCTTTAATGAGTTAAGATTATTACAAAATTGAGACAATTTTAGGAACCGAAGTGGCCTCTTCACAAGAACACAATGTAGCCTGATATGAAGACATATAAAAACAACATAAAATCAAGAGGGAGAAGGAAAACAGAGCTAACAAGAGTTCAATTACTTTGGGTGTCACATTGCTCATCTCTTCATTTTTCATACTAGAATGACAGGACCAGCCAACTACTTCTCAGCTACTCTGAGACTTTCCAACAAGAAGACAGTAGATATACCATGCCAGCAGGCATTCAGTGAACAGAAGCACTCCAACCACATAGTTATTTTTTCCACTGTTCATCAAATGAAGGCAGTTTATTAACATTACAGGAAAAATTTATGTACCTACTATCTATACATCTATTTATGGCTATAGGCAATTGAGATTGGAAATGAAGTACCTCATATAATCATATGAACCAAAAATATGGAATTAAAAGCAAACAGTTAAAGTGACCTATATTTCATTATTTTGAAAAAATAACTTTGTAAACATTTCGGGGGGGTCCCTCTTTTTTTTAATAGAGTCTCATGACTTCCTATGTAGCCAAGAATGATCTTAAATTCCTGATTCTCATGCCGCCCCTCTCAAGTTCTTAGGAATACGGGCCCTCAATATGATTTTCCTGTGTTCATACCCAGGGTGGCTTTCTTTTGCTCTTTAGGGTGGAGGAAAGTTGATGTATTAATCACTATTGTCTTCTTTCATGTGTTACTGTAATCAGACCCCAAGTTATGGTTATACACAGCATATGCTAAAGCCGTATCTCCAATCTCCAGCAGTATTAAGTATGAACAGAGACAAGCAGAGTAAGGAGATTATGGTGTGGAGGTGCAGAACTGAAAGGTGAAGGAAGACAACAGGAAGGGTGCTCCACAAACTCAGGAGTAGCTGGCCATACAACTGAAATTCCATGGACTTCTGTGCTATTTAATATATAGAGGAAGAACATGAAGTTGGGTAGGTAGGGGTATGGAAAGGTCTAGGAAGAGGTGGGAAAGGGGATAGAATATGATCAATATATATTGCACAAAAAGATTAAAGAAAAAGAACAAGCACATAAAAGTTCTCCACAGGAAGAGAAAAAGCTTGATTTGGGGTTAGGAGTTGAAGGTTCAGGTCACTAGAGTGCGGTAATAAAGGACTAGAGGGTAATAACGGACTAGAAGGAACAGCACTTCCCTTGCTGTGAACAAAGACAGTTCCATGCTTTCCCAGCATTCCCAGTCTGTACATGAGCAGAAGAAAATGCCTACCCTGAAATAACCCTTAAAGAGGATATGCCACTGCTTATTGATGTCGTTTGGGTCCTTCCCACTGAGTATTCATTCACCCTTATTTTGAAAAAAAAAATAGGAGAGAAAATGCACAGCAAAGATGACATGTGATGGAAATTCTGAATGTTGACATTGTTCGCTTAAAAACTAAGGCATTGGTAAAAACGGAAAGGAAAAACACACTGACTGGTTACTCAATACAAAATGGTCAACACTGAAAACATACATACAAGCAGCACTATATGACTGAGCAGGTTGTGTTTATGTATTTAGGAATATAATGTATACCAACAATCAATGAAAAAGAGGCTATGAATTTGAAAGAGAGAACAGAGGGGTAGGTGGGATATTTTGAAGGGAGGAAACGGAATGAGAAAGAATGCAATTACATTACAATCTCAAAAAATATAAACAATTTAAAATAAAAAAGTGAAACAATGGCATGTAATACAATGTGATATATCTACAATAAGCCTTGCAACGCCACTGAAAATAAGTTTTGAAGATTATTTTTACTAAGAAAGCTTAGCAGTTACAGTTTACAGTTCATAAACACACTAGAAAAAACTACTTGAATGGCTCCTCATGAATCTCATGAATACATAGAGAATTCAGTCCCAGCCCCAGCTGGAGGCGGACACAGAGAACAATAAAGAAGCGAGGCTGGCCCAGTTTAAGAAGCCATTAGACAACTGGAAACTCCTCGTGCCGTCTTTCAGGTTGATGAGTCTGAAGTACCGCTTCATGTCATATGATTTTAAATATTGATATGTTACTATATTAAGCAAGAATGCTAAGAGCTGGACTGTATGAATCTACTTTACTACCAATATTACAGTCTAGATTTATAAAGTGAGAATAATGACAGCAATAATATTGCTAGGTTGTGGGTAAGATTAAATGAGTTAATATTAGCAAAATTCTTAAGAAAGAATGAAAAAATCTGAACATTCAAATTTGCCAAGACCTTTTATAAAAAATAAAAATCTCTCATGGGAAAACTACATGGAACTTTTATATATTTTTCTGGTCACATAATTCCAAGTTTTAGTTTGGTCAACATGTTTCATCCTATATTCTTCCTGGATGGAGAAAGTGTGTAAAGAGGGGTGGGCTTCGAGGTTTCAGATGCTCAAGCCAGGCCCAATGTCTCTCTCTTCTCTCTCCCTGCATATCCAGATGGAGAACTCTCAGCTACCTCTCCAGCACTGTATCTGCCTGCACGCTGCCATGCTTCCCACCGTACTGATAATGGACTAAACCTCTGCACTGTAAGCCAGCTCCAATTAATGTTTTCCTTTATAAGAGTTGACGCGGTCATGGTGTCTCTTCACAGCGATATAATCCTAACTAAGACACTTAATACTTCAGTGAGCTGTAGATGGTAAATAGTTTTCTACAAATAAGAGGGACATTACTGGCTAAATTGAACTCTAAAGAACACAGTAACTATCAAGATGGAAATCTGGCTGACATAGTTTTCCTTTAAAAGCATTCATTTCATAGCTTCAATTTTCAGAAATGAAAAATTTGGTGTTCCTTGTTGAAGAATTTAATTTATGTTTATAAGTGTTATTTCTTTTGGCTTACAAAAGTCTATACTTAACAATATACAATCTGAATTCATAACATGCATTTCTCATTTAATGTCTCTTTACTTACTTGTAGATAAAGTACACAATTTAACTAATGGCAAAAGAAGACAAATAGGAAAGAAGATGTTTTGTGGCACTGGTAGACAGAACAGTCTATTCTTGCAAATGAGAGGCTTCTTGCCATAGCTTGATTTTCCTGTCAGCTACTTCTATAAGCTATTTCAAGGCTCACATTTCATTGTGCAATATATGTATATGAATTCTTTACAGGCTTCCTTAGGAACAGATTAGTTGATTAAGAAGACCAGGGTGCACGCTTTCATGGAGTCAAGGAAATGTATTTCTGGAGGTACCTTTAGTCTTGATGACTTTAAACAAAAATAATTTTAGACACGAGGGCTAGCAAGGTGGCTCAGTGAGTCAAGACTCTTGCTGCCAATAAAGTCAATATATTTGCCTCAAAATTCATTTTAGTAGTGTCTGCTCAAAAGGTCTGACTCTGTTTCATGAATTCTTGGTACTACAGTCATGAGGTCTGTAATAAATGCATTAAAAGCTATGGGAGATGGGGTTGGAAATGTAGCTAGCATGAATGGCAGGCATGCACAAGCCCTCGGTTCAATCCCAAGCACTGCACAGAACTGTCTACCAGACAGTACATGCTTAGCACTTGGGAGACCAGGGAAAGAGGATTAGAACTTCAAGTTCATCCTCAGCTACAGAGAAAGTTCATGGTCAGTATAGGATACAAAAGACAACCCCCAGTGAAATAAAAAGGTGTCCTGTGGAACAATCCTTTTGTATACAAAGATATATTGCTCTCATTGTTAATAAAAAGCTGATTGGCTGATGGCTAGGCAGGATTTTTGGGGTAGAGGGAATGGTGGGAAGTAGGAAGGCAGAGACTGAGTTGCCAGCAAGACACAGAGAGAAAACA